GGCAGTCCGTGGGCCCACCTCCCGGCGCCGAATTTAGGTCCGAGACCGAGCTCGAAACCCCAGCACCTGAAGCGGGCTGCGACTGGATCCTGGGAGATCACACGTCGCCAGGGGCACAGCGTGTGGCTGGCTCCTGGTCTTTCCAAAGCAAGCCACACAACTCGGGAGTGGAGAAGCGTGAGTCCGCCTCCGCAGCGGTCAGCGCCCGGGCGAGCCACGTGGCCAAATAAATGTTTGGATTAGGACTTGATGTTCTGCCTTACAAGCATAAATACCTGTGGTCATGAATAGTGTGGTTTGATCATCAGAAAGCAGGAGAAATGGCAACGGCTGGTTTTTCCTGCCAAGTCTCCATGACCCAAGTTGCGTCCAGCCTTATTCTCCTTAAGGGTTGCAAGTGCTTCCCAAACTGGGTAGAAGGAGTGTTCTGCTCCAGCAGCCTCCTCCGGAACCACTGAAAAACACCCTAGAGGATGCACTCCGGAACCCCTGTGCTTTCGGGGTGCCGAAGTAGAATTTGAATTTTTGATACTGGCTGAGAATATCAAGTTGCCATACCAGTATAAAGTTTGCCGTTAAGTGGATCTTCTGAGGTGTTGTGTGTAGCCTCCAAACTCCCAAGTGCTGGGGATCAACCAGGTAGAATTGATTGGAATAAAACAAAATGATGAAATATATTTAGGCTGTTATTTTACAATTTGAAAAAATAATAAATCGCAAGGCTTTTTTTTTTTTTGGAAAGAAAGCGGTAAGTTCTAAAAACAATTTCTAAACACTATCTTTAATAACATACAAAAGTTATTTGTAAGAAGTAGCTATCAAGAGAGCTAATTTATGTGACCAGTATTTACATACACACACACACACACACACACACACACACACATTTCTGCTGCAGATCTAGGCTAGAAAACACACACACAAAACATTACACAGCCTATTCATGTTTATTTTCAGTGGGAAAGCACTAGAATTGAGGTCAGAACCTGAAATTTGTCCAGCCATTTATTAGAGCCCTAAGACTTTAGTTACTTGAACCTCACTGAGTTAATTTATTCATCTATAAAATGGGAATAATAGTTTAGTTACTCCAAGAAGTGGCAAGAAAAAAAAAGCCTTCAGACTCTCTTTGAAAAGACAAAGCTTATACCACCCTGCAAGGACAGAACCTACCCTGCAGTGAAGCAGGAAGGAAGATCACGGAGGCCCCCAGGGCATGCTCCCCCTTTTCTCCCTTAGAGTCTCCTGACATAGCAGGACTGGGTGCTCTTTGATTACACTTTTCATCATACTTGCTTCACAATGTGAATAGTCCAAAACACTATTTTTTCTATACCGGCTTATGCATTCACATGGTTAGTTCATAAGTCTCCATGGGGAAATGTAATCATTATGTAATGCTCACATGTACTAGTAAAAAGTGAAAAAAAAAAGTCTTCATAGGAGGAAGATGGTTATATGTGGACACCTTGGAGTCAGCCCAGAAAGGACAGGTGTTAGTGTCATCTGTCCTTTGAGGGGCAGCCTGGAGAGGTTTGGTACATGGGTGGTAGAAAGAATTTCAGTCAAGGAATACAGAAAAATAAAGTGTTTATTGATACACTGCTAAAGAGCAGCAGGTGAATTCCAAGGGAGGAATACATGAGTCAGAAAAAAGCAGGGACCTTTATATTTGGTTTTAAGATGAAGAAAGGAGTACAGGAATGTCATTGCAGCAATGTTTCTACCAGGCCCTCATGATTTCATTGTTCACTTGTTGCAATTTTGAGGCTAGCCAAATATTGTTTGAAGACTGAGTGATGTCTTCTTTTGATAAGGCTTAAGGTTCTTGGCATTGTTTAAAAAAGAAAAAAGCCCTTCTAAGTAGGGTTAGTAGATATGTATAGGCTAATTTGGGTTAGTGATCAAGGGTTTCAGAAAAGTACATATTTGTGCCAAAGGGGGCCTTTAGTATTCTATAAGGACAGGGGGGGAAAGGTTATTCTTTAAGACACGGCAAGGGATTAGGACACCTAGAAATTCTTGCAGCCTGCAAGGTTGAAAGTCAGTTTTACTAGACTCAATGCTCAGCTGCAATTTGGCCTTAAAGAAACAACAGTGAAACAACCATGATTCCCCACATCATCCCAGGACTCTGAACAGGACTATAGACACTCGCCTATGTTCCCCAGTGATGTCTGTAAATTGTTGCTCTTTCTTGATAAATGCACCATCATTATCTCTGATTTGCATAGTTCTCTAACAGCAGCAACTACTCAGGCCACGTAAACCCAGAAATAAACTATATTCTACTTTCTATTATATGCCTTCATGTTAGGCCTCTGAATGCATCAATAAACAGCAAATCGTTTTGAGATTATACAGAACATGTAAGTGAATATAACAAAGTCAAAGCCTGAGATATGAAAGGAATTCAATAAATACTTGTTGAATGTTAAAATTTTTAAACTAATCAAAACTCAGCAAGGCTGAGGATTTAGCTCAGTGGTTCTACCGCCTGCCTCAAAAGCACAAGGTCTCGAGTTCGATTCCCAATACAAAACACAAAAACAAAAACCTCATCAACCTTGGAAGGCACACTGTATCAACTGTGTATGTTTCCTGAATTTTAAGTATAATTTAATTTCTTTAGAAATAACTATTTCATTTCATTGTTCACATTTAAATCTTTACTTTTTTCCCTCAGCACTGGAGATTGAACCCAGGCCTACACACTGACCTAGTACCTGTTTTAATTTTTTTTTTTTTAATAGAGCTAGGCTACACCCCTAGACCTGTTTTAAGTTTTTTTGTTTAATTTTGAGATAGGGTCTTGCTAAGTCACTCAGGCTGGGCTCAAATTTGTCATCCTCCTGCCTCAGCCCGTCAGGATTACAGGTACATGCTGCCAGCTCAACTAAATCTGTATTCTCAATTGTGTTTTACCAATATTCCCTTTCCAAGGATACTTCCTCAAAATTCTGTTTTTGCTGCCCCTCTTTCTCCCTCACCTTCAGCATTTTTACCCTCAAACTCCCACAACCCTGCTGTGTGTTCTTTATTTCTTAATGGGACCCTTAGACCAGTGTTTCTTGATTTTCAGGTTTAGACATTATTTTCTGACAACTCATCATGGTATTTAAGGATCTAGTTCTTCTGCACACCATCATCACCACCACTCTGTCTCTGTCCTTGACACAGCCCAGTCAATAAACAATAATTCAAGTTTACATCATCCTAACAGTGTAAACATATATAATACATTTCTGAGTCAGTGCTATGATAACACTTTGCTTCAAATTTCCTGTTCTTCCTAGAGTTAATAATAGTTTTGCTTTCCCACTTTTAAAATATATATATCTTAGATATACTTCTAAGTGAAATAAATAAGGCAAACATGTGTAAATACCGAATAGTTTCTCTGGTGTGAATAATCTGCAATAATACAGAAGATCCTAATAAGATTACTGACATTTAGAAATGGGAAGGAAGGGGCTAAAGGTGCAGGGAAGGTGGATGGGTAGGGGAAGGGTTTAAAGAGAAAAGAAAAAAATGTGAGATAATGAAAAGATGTAAATAAAGTGTTTGTACATGGGGAGGGGAGGAGGGGGTGAAGGGAGGGCAGGGACAAGGGGAAAAAATGAGAACCAAGACTTGTCATGTAGAGGTACAAGATCCCAACAATGAATATAACTGTACTGTATCCCTAAAATGTACCAATAAACTCAATTAAAGCTGAAAATAA